TAATTTTTTAATTTATATTAATAATATAAAAAATAAGAAATACAATTTTAATTTATACTGTTAGAATAAATTTTAAAAAAATTCTTTATTACCTAATAAATCTTAATTTGAAGTTGAAGTTACAATTTTTATCCTTATGAAAAACATGAAAACCGTGAATTATCTTAAAGGGGGGGAATTTTTACCGCGGCCAGATTCGAATCATGATTAAAAGATGAACAGGTGAACTTTAACGCAGTCACCACGTACGAGACCCTGCGATTGTGAAGCAAATGAGGATTAAGAAAAATTATAAAAATGTACCAAAAAAGAAAGGAAAATTATAAAAAGGGAAGAAAAAATGTCAGAAGTGGGATTTGAACCCACGCCCTCTTTCGAGGACCAGAACTTGAGTCTGGCGCCTTAGACCACTCGGCCATCCTGACTTCATTGATACCTCCTTGCTAGATATCGAAATAATACCATGATAATTCGTACCCTCGCTATAGTTCAGATTGGAAGCGACACAGACCACTCGAAAACTAAATGCGAGCACTAAATGGAAAACTCCGTTCTTTGATCATCTCATGTAAAAATGGTTGACTGCTTCACTTACTTGGAATTGCATGTTTGCATATACCTTATGTTCCATGAATTCGGTTGACTAACATGGTTGGTATAGATTATCGAAAACGGAAAAAAAAAAAAAAAATCATAATTTTCTCTAAAAGGTCTTAAACCTAATACGCAGCATGCTGAAATGGGCTCTCCATTTGGTCAATAACGCTCTGCAAGCCTGATTTATAACTTGGATGAAAAAGCTGCACTCCTAGTTCCCTCTTGATACGTGAATTGGAAACTCGCTTTTCACCTCTTGAACTTCCACTTCGAACAAAGGATTCATCTTTCTGAGGAGAAGTGCATTTCTTGACCAGGCCTGGCCACTTTTTCTCAATCAAATCCAGCGCATATGCAAATACCTCTTCTCTAGGGGCTGGCTCATCATCGACAACATTGTAGATTCTCCTGAAAAAGGAAACTCAAACGAGCCAATAGGGATAAGAAAATCCTACTTCAGTTACACACCTAGCAGAGTCAAGATCAATTAGTATACAATGACCACTGCTTCTTGCACCTGAATGAAAAGTGTAACCAAGCAAAGGTGACAATTAAACCATACCTGCTCGATGGCATGTCAATACTGGCCTTGAGTGCTTGGCAAATGTCTTCCACATGAACTCGGGATGTGTATTTTCTCGACCCTCTCATTTTCTGACCTTCTGACAAAGACTCCTGCTTAATTATTGTGTCAATGGCACTGTGATGTAAAATAACACATTAAACATTGCAGAAACTCGTTCAAAATGCACTAAAAACAGATTAAGGCATTAAAATAGCAATATAACCACTTTACATACGAGGATATAAGCCAATCTTTATATGATGGTAAATATAACTTACGTACAACAAAATTAAATAAATTGCTCAAAAACCAACATGTTAGATGTCTAACATTAACTATTGAATTAAAATATAGAATGAAAATAGTAAGAAATACCAATCAAACCTTCTACCAGGACCATAGATACCTCCAAGTCGAAATACTTGTGCTGCAAGCCCAAGGTCATGTCCCAGATTTAACCATCCCTCCTCAGCAGCCAGCCTCAATTTAGCTAACTCATTTATCGGGCTTGTTGGATGACTGTCATATGACAATCTATGCAATTAGCGATATATTACATGGGGTTAACTTATGACAATAAACAAACAAATCCACATGTCAAATGGTCTCACTCCTCATCTACATATGCACCACCACAATCTCCATAAACACCTGCCAGACAGAAGCAGCATGGTCAAAGATAAAATCTTCGAGCTTGTCAGAAGCAAATAAGGGGCATAAAAGCATTGTCTTTAACATTTAGATGAGGACATACTAGTTGACGATAAATAACCGACCCACTGAAGGTTGCCATCCATCATTGCACTTCTTAGAGACTCTCCACGTTGAAGCACCTACACATTCATAAGAAACAATAAGCAAAATTAGCAGCAACCATAGAATATTGATGCTGATAGAGACACATACAACAACGCGTAACAATATTTGTTTGAATACATACAAAACAAGAAAAAGCCATACATACTGGATCTCCAATACCCATAAGAGGAGGGATAGACACAAGTAGATGTGTATAGCATTTCAAAGAATTCATGTTCCTCACTCTGACAAACAATAAAAAAAAAGCATCAAAATAATGGCAAAAACTTCAACCTAAGAAATTTCAAGTAATTTTATCGCCAGTTATTTTATTCAACGAAATAGACAAACGATAATGCACATACTCTGGTTCATTTGCATCGAATAGGTAAACATCAAACCCATTTTGCTCAAGTTCCGTTTTCTTCTTCATGCTTGTGCAAGTCCCTGACACCACCCTAAAAAGTTCATTCTCTGGTGAGAATATGAAACAAAAATGCTATCTAAATCCCAAATTAAAGATGGCTAGTACCAAAAAGCGGCAATTACAGCTATAATTAATGCAAAAACATACCATCCTTCATTCTTAAGCTCCCGAGCAAGGAATTGCGCAACAAACCCCATCCCGAGAATAAACATCCGGTTCCGAGACTCCAAATCAGAGTTTTCCGACGGGGAATTGCTCAACGCTGTTACTCGGGGTAAAAATGCCGGCCATTGGAGATGTGCAGGAGGTAATTTTCCAAGAGTCCGGTTGAAATCGGAGCGAAGGGGGATTGCCGGAAATCCTTCCGGTAGTTGACAAATCTCCATGTCGAAAGCGAAGTTAACATTTGGGAATTGGGATATCGGTTGAGTCGAAGAACAGAATCAGCCGTTGAACAATGCCGATGGAAAGCCCAAGGTGCCTTCCATTTTCCTCCCAGCCCGCGGCGCCTAGAGCCAGATCCAGGCATTGCGCGGTCGCTGGGCCTATGTAGGCAATTAGAAATTTAGAATTTAGGCACGTAGCTTTGACTGGGCCTAACCCTACTGTAATTGACTCGGTTGGGCTTAGGCTTTTTAAATGTTTAGCCTAAGCAGGCTTCCTCAGCCCCAATAGATTCGGCGGACTTACCCTTTTCAATTAAATGCCAAAGAAAATAAAAATATAGCTGCAAAAATGGCATAACCCCCGGGATCTGTGTCCTTTTGAGATCATTAATTGCTGAATGTGCGGCCTACGAGGATAATTTTTTAATATTATTTTTTGATATAATTTTTATATATTATTAAATAAATAAATACATTTAATATAATAAATTTTACATAAATAAAAAAATTATTTATTTATTAATTATTTAAATAATTCAGTAATAATATTTTTTTATTATGAGTTCGAGTCGTATAATATGCGAGTGATATGAGATAAAAGATGAGAAAGAGAGTTATCTCTCGTTGTGCAGTCAATATAAAAAAATCAATTATTTAAATGACACATAAGCTATACCAAAAATTAATATAAAAAAATTATCCTACAATCATTTTCCTTCCTAAATAAACACTTTTTGTTTTAATTTATAAAATTTATATTATTAATATAATTAACTTAAAATTAACAAAATTTTATTACGTGAGTTGCGTAATCTTCTTTTATTCAATCATCAATGTTATATTGATATAAACATAGTTTACTTGCGTTCTTAGAAACGACGAAAATTTTGCTGATAATGAGATTATTATATGTTGCATAAGCAGGACTTTTCTTCAACAAATATTGTCCACAAACACCACGCTGTAAACAATAATACGTACTTTGCATTTCAAACGAGGATAACCCACACCGCAAGGGAACAAACTTGGGATGGCTCGTCCTAAACAAAATTAAAATCACAGTGGTAGTTGGCCAAAATTAACTATAAAATGCCCAAGGTACAACCACTATCGTTAGAGCAATGCTAGGGGCACTCGCCTCCTGTACTCTCCGGCCAACACTTTCTCTTTTATTGGGCCACGTTATTTTGGTTCACGAGAGGTTGCGCCGAAAGCGTTTTTAAAGAAGCTTACGTGGGCCAATGAAAGGGGAAGTGTTGGCCGGAGAGTGCAAAAAGCGAGTGCCTCTAGCACTGCTCCTATCTTTATTTTGCCAATAAATATAGAATGACCCCAATGCCCAATACATAATTGTGTGCATTCACAACTGTACTTTTAACCCCACGTTGCTGGTGCAGCTTGCGGAACCCCCATTAATAAGGGGTTGTGCATGGCTCTACGTAGCTTAAACTTTAAAAAATTATATATATATATATATGATTAAAGTTGTAGACAAAAAATATAGAAAAGGCTTTACCTTAAATTTCTTTATAAAGATAAAAAAAATACACATAAAATTAAGGTGTAACAAAAAAAAAAAGAAAAAACGCTACCGTTTGTCTTTTCCTTGTTCCACCGTTGCTCCTCAGGTTGATATTAATCGATCTTAAACTTCTAGTTGTAAAGTCAAGAATTCAAGGTCATGATTTAACCCCTTATTATAATGGGTTATTATAATGGGTTTTTAATATGTATGCTTAGTATATACATTTTAAAGAATATAATTAATATATTTTTAATACATAAAAAAATAATTATTGATTTTAAATTAATCAATGATCTAATTAGAGTCATTTATATGTCAATAGTATTAAAATAAATATTAATTTTTATAAATTTTTTATATAAATTAATTATAAAAAATGAATTTATTATATCTTAATTTAATCTATATTTTTAAAATACAAATTAAATAGATCCTACTATAATTAAGCAGGTTAAAATTTTAATTTACTAAAAGAATTACATACATGGCTAATAAGGTTTTTAGTCAAGTGACTCTAAACTTAGAGACCGAGGCGATTTCCATATACTGTATTTTAGGTAGTTAAATCTCTAAGATGTAGACTTATACTACGTACTCTATATTTAAAAAGGGAAATTACGTGCATGATCTCATGCCCTCGTTGGATTCATTAACAAATACTTCTCAATTGAATATAGGAAAAAGGTATTGTAGGGCATGTTGTTATTTTAAATTTTTTTAGAAGCTTTGTTTAAAAATATATTTTAGTTAATATTTTAAAAAATTAATTATTAAATTAAAATTTTTATTTATATAAATTATATATGTCAATTATTATATTGATTTGTAGGGCATGTTGTTATTTTAAATTTTTTTAGAAGCTTTGTTTAAAAATATATTTTAGTTAATATTTTAAAAAATTAATTATTAAATTAAAAATTTTATTTATATAAATTATATATGTCAATTATTATATTGATTTAATACTTATAATTTTTTTATAAAAAAATTATTTATTAATATATATAATAGTCTTAAATTTCTTATAATCAATGAAATAATTAAATCAATTAAAAAAATTTAAAAATAACATGTATAATTTGTATGGATAAAATTTTTAATCCAACTATTAATTTTTAAAAATCTTAATTAAAATACAAACTTTTAGATAAGTTCTTTAAAAACAATTTAAGAGAACACATACAAAAATACTTTTCCTATAAGGGTTTATCTAATATGTTAAGAGTATAATAAATATATCTTTTTGAAATTAATTTACATTAAAATTATAATAATTGATATATATTTTAACATT